AAGAGCCAATAAACCAATAGCCAATGATGAATAAACTTAATAATTTATTTAGTGATTTGGTTATTGGTCCAACCCTGGCGCTGATCGCTGTCACGTTTTAGCAGTGAAGTAAAAATTATAACGCGCAAATACCAAATTACTAAATTCAATACCACTTAAAATGGGTGATCTTTGAAGAACACGCAACTTGGTCATTGATTTCTTTCTTGCAATACAGACGACAGTATGCAAAAGATTTCACAAGAGATAAACTTAAAGAACATAGGAAATATACGAAAGAACTTGATAAAATTATTTCAAATAATGAATCAAAAGAAAAATGTGCTCAAGCTCAAAAATGTCTTAACGAATTTGATGTACGTGTTTTTTATTTAAATATTTATCAATTAACTAAGATAGAAGCCCTGAGTAGCTGGCTGACTGCGTCTCAGCCAGTGACAGTGAACCGCGCCTTCCCTCGGGGAATAGACTACGCCTCTATTTCCATGTTGCAACTAGGAACTGCGTCTTTCTGGTTGTTAGACTGGCGTCTCGTTTCATGGAATATATCTCCTAATCCTTTGATTATGATGATAAGTTTTGGTTATTTGATTAGACTAATATATTATCTGTTTTATAAGGACGAGAAATCATCCCCAGAAGTAGAAGCTTTTTGGATATCGGACTCGATAAAACTTACCAAGGTGAACAGATTACCATCTATAGATTCTTATTTTAATGAGAAATTGACTAACCGTACTTAATAGTTAAACTATGCAAAATCTGCGTTGGATAAAACCGTCGAAGAAGCAAAGGAAATACGTTCGATTGTGTCTGATGAAACGATATCCACATTGAGAGACGATGTAAGTTATTTTGTGAGAGTAGATTTACATTCTTTTTTTAATCTTGTTGCTTATCCATAATGAATTACCGTGCAATTAGAATGCTGTTCTGTATGTTAATACTCCTGAATCGAAGCGAGTACTAGATCGAGACTGTGAAAGCGACGAAAAGGTTAGTATAAATGTAACACAAATAATGTATTATACAAAGGTTTACGTATATATTAATTTTTTGTACTTCACAAGCCAAGAAAGCGCACAAAGACCGAAGATGATGACTATTATGATGACGAATCAGAAAGTGATGAAGGTGACGATGAATGTGAGTTAAGGCTAAACGTGGAAGAAATGGGATTTGACGAGTACGTTGATCGCAATGATATACCTGTAAGTATATTTTTTTCTTAAGGTTGATTGTAAGTACGATTTTTTTAAACCAATAATCGTTTTATAGTTCATTTTCAAAACCAAAAACATCTCGTCATTATTTGAGTCATATCGATCCAAAGCGTTAGCTCATGCGCAAAATTCTGGTCTGATAATGACGAAAAATTATCACGAAGTATTGTAGGTAGAACTTTTAAATGGAAAGTCTTTTTAATGATTAACTTTACTGATGGAGTTTGATTATCTTTTTTTTTTGAAAATTCAGGAGTCTATCCCATATTCTCTTATTACAAAGGGATAATTATTCGGAGTCGCAAGTAAAAACGTTCTCTAGGGAAACGCTCGAAGACCTCAGAAAGGATATTAAATCGAAGCTAATCGGAAAAGAAAAAGTATCAAGGGACATAAAATCAATCCTACAAGAGTACATTGAGGTTCGTGTTTTCTATTATCATCATTCTTTTGCAATGTTCCCTTTACTAACTATCTTGCTTAGGTTGCTCTTGATGATAATGATGGTGGATTACACGAACTTCGCGAAACCATCACTGAATCTTTTTCGAAAGAATTTAATTCAACAGAAGAGAAAGAATTTTTTCGACGAATGAAGTTTCTCTTTAAAAATCTGTAAGTTTCGATATCTCTTAGTTAAGCAACTTTTTGAAATGACTGTTAACAAGATTTTTTCTTGCTACTTTGCAGGTCTTATACCATCCCATTACACCCATTGAAAGAAATTATAAGCGAAGGAACACTTGTGGCGAATATAATAAGTCCGATTTTACGAATTTTTTTTCATGACTCATACATATATCCTACGATATGGCCGAATACATCCAGTACCAGCGCAAAAGTACGAAAACTTGCCATCGGTGATCCTACCCGGGCTAAACAACCCGATATGATTGGGAAAATCGTCAATAATGGTACTTATAGAAAAAACAGTTAATCATAAAAATACAAATAAATCTGTTCTAATTATTTCTTTAACATACAGCAAATTTTGTTTATGAAACGATGTTCGGTGAGGTAACGGGAGAAGGCAAAAATAACACGGAAATAAGAATTTAATCGACCTGGTTAGATTGGGGATATTTATGAAGGATTCCCTTGATAATATTTCGCGTAAGACCGGTGTCAATCGGATTTTCAGTTTTCAAGTTATTGGTAAGCTGGTCTTCCAGGAACGCTTGTTTTAACTAACCTTATCCTATCTATTAATGATTCTTCATGTAATAAAAAGTTACAAAGTGGACCGGCTACATGATGACATTAATTAGCCCAGGGATTTACGTTATGATTGATATTGGCAGTGTAGATCTTCCAAGATCTTTCGAAGTATGCAATACGTTTCTAACTGGTTTGGACACACTGTTTGCATTTCAGGTATAACTTAGAAATATCAATATTACTTTTTATTTCTGTATAAATGACTAATTCAAAGCTGTTCCTCTAGATAGCGTACGAAAAAACAATAAAAGATATTCTCTCAATTATGAATAAAAGTGAAGAATTCGAGAGTAATGATAATTTTAAAGGATGGCGTCGATCAACACTTGGTACACCATCGTTCAAAAAAATTGTGAAGTTCAAATAACTTACTTGTTAATAGAACATATATTTACGTAATATTCATTAACTAATTATATGCTATATCAGCTGTTTCTTTTTTTCAATATTAATAAAGTTGTTTGCTCACAATCCGGTTTTAATTGGCCTTACTATATATAATACGTACATGGTTTCATATAATTATACTGTATTTATAAATGCATATATACAAAAAGATAGAATCAAACCTTATTTGTCCAATTTCAGGGGTATGTCCCAACCTAATCTAGTTGCGAAAGGATCATCAGTTGCTTTAGTAAAATCGAAGACCACAAAATTCCTATCTCGCAAATGCTTGTCAATTGTCTTGGATGCTTTTTTCGGATTATCCGTATATTGACGCACAATTCTGCATATATCTTCACGACTTCCTGAGCCTCGAAATAAAGCTAAGTGTGAAATATTCTCACGAATTATTTTAGGAGTTTGTGTATATTTCTGGCTCACATATATGCTTGATACACCTTGATGTCGGCCACTAATAAAATATGG